ACCCTGATGGACACATGGACTCTTATGTAACATTGGATGAACTTCACATGCCTGGGCTAAACATCCCACAATACTGTGACTAAGGATGCTTGTCATGAAAACATATGAGGCCATGAACAGTTTTCCTCTGACAGGTCACTCCAAGGATGATTTCACTTCAACTGAGCTTGCCTGAATACTGGTTTAAGCCAGTTTTATCTTTCCTTCTTCCAAGAAGTGGCTGACTCTATATTGCCCCAGAAAAGGAGGTCCGTGGTGCTTCCCTACCAGGAAGTGGCAGCCCCAAGGTCTGCTTGGGATCTCAGATGTTTCTACAATCACCTGTATCACTAGTGGAGTCTCCTCTCACTTCTCTTCCACCATCCCCTCCTCCAGGACAGAGTTCCTCCTACTCCATCCTAAATCCATGCAGGTGTGTTCTACCTCTTTCCTTCTGCTGAGACATGTCCCTCTCACCCCACCCTGGCGTCCTTCTTCATCATCACTGTCCAGCAGATGTGCAATGCAAATTTGATCTAAGACAGGCTGCAGTGGCTCTGTGAAGTAGGGTGATAATGGGGCACCAAATCAAAGGTTTGGAACATTGTTCCCAGACAAGTTTGAAAGAGGCCCGCTGTTCTTCCAGGGGAGATAATTAGCTGTGCACCCTTGGGGGATTCACAACCTAGAGCTCCAAACTGCTTTCAAAGCTGGCAGAATGGACACATGTACAGATCCTCATTACATGGGTTATGTGCTGACTGGGTCAAAGAGTTGACACCTCATGAGTTTGTTTAAAGATGACACTGCCCTTGGACTAGGGTCTGTGACACCTGGGTTCACTTCTCTTTCCTAGGGTTAGGGTTTACTTTCCCACTGGAAGACAGTGTGGGCTGTTCTCATGTGCTTCTCTGTGTAACCTGACCTCATGACTGTGGGTATATGTCATTCATTCATACTACTACCATTCATGCCACATGAACATTTAGGACCTATTTCTAGGAGTCAGATGGCTTGGATTCTAATGTTGCCCTTGACTGTTGTTTGCATAACAATTTCCCTCAGCTTTCATGTCTTCCTCTGTGATATGGAAATGGCCATCATGTCCAGCTAACAGGACTGTGTGGATTGCATGAAATAAGAATTCAAAAAAAAAAACAAAAAACAAAAAACAAAAACAAAAAACTAGGGAGTTGTGTTCTGTGACATATTCTATGAGTGTAAACATCTTTCATATATGTGTATTTCAACAATATGCATACATTATTTCTCCTCTAACTTATAGTTGTTTGTGCATTTTATTTCTTCTGCAGGAGCATTTCAGCTACTTTTGGTAACAAATTTGCTTTCTTTTTGGTATCCTGCAATGGTTCTGATATAGGATCTATGATCCCCAGATGCTATTGCTCTGGTGTTTGTTTTTCTTTTAGTTGAATCAGAGGCAGACACCAGAAAATGGAAAAGATGTGTGCAAAGAAGGAAAGAAGGAAGCCAGGGATGAACAAAGACTTGGGGACTGGCAGGC